AGACAACTTGGAGACAAGACAAAAACACCAACATTTCCCCCAGACGTGAAAAGAACAGCCTCAGAGGAGCTCTATTCTTATCCCCCCCGCTCTCTAAACCGGGGCGTAAAGACGGCTTTTAAAGCTAAAAGCACAAAAGATGAGAGTCATCACAACCCCAAAATTGAAGAAGCCAAATAAAAATAAAAATCTTTTTATGAAATCACTTCCTTTGAGTTCTTATTCAGTTAGAAAAAGCTTGAACCAAAGACAGTGCAGCACCATAATCTGTATATGAGCGTATTAACTCATTGGCTGCCAAAGACGTCTATAGAGGTCTTTTATGTTTTTCAGTGAGAGTGTCTGGGGGACGATCTGCTAAAGCTTGTCCGTAAATATCAGCTTCTAGACAGAGTATGTAGTAACAAATTGACCCTCTAGGGGGCAGTGCCACTTTTGATGGGAGATGAGCATAGACTGTAGGCAAATAAGAAAAAGCTAACGGTTCGCTATGAGAGAACATGTCGCCGGTGAGACGCAAGTCCAGGAAGAACGGAATAAGGTAGAAACACATTTTTTTTCCTGATGAAAGAAGAGAGTCTACTCTTTCTTTTGGTGTGTTCGGTGTTTACATAGTCATAGCACAAACTATTCTGTGGCTCTTGAAAAATCAGTCGAAATGCTCAAAAACTCTGGCAGTCAATGAGTTAAGGGTTTGGATATCTGTAACCAGTGTTAGGGAAATCAATACATGTATAATCACTTTCTTAATTTCTCTCTGGGAACTTTTCCCAAGTGAATATTTTCCAATATTTTCCGGTTCTGCTGGTCCTGGTTCTGCTGGTTTTTGTTCTGCTGGTTCTTGTTTTGATGGTCCTGGTTCTAATGGTCCTGTTTCTGCAGGTCCTGGTTCTGCTGGGAGTATTTCCCTGTTCAGTTGTTTCCTCTCACAGTCTCCTCGTGCAGTCAGGACCGGACCAGAGAGAAGATTTGGACAAATCTCCTAGTTGTCTTAACGAAGAAACTTTTTTAAAAGGCCCTGAATTGATTGAACCAATTTGGAATTAAATGAACTGGAATTTATTGGACTTTATCACAATGAAGACATTGTAAACTGAAAAGTAAAGTACTTCAGCTTTTTCATTCTGAGCCTTAAATGAGGAGCTTTCACATCAAAGAGAACTGCCGTGGACTTTTTGGGGAGTGTCCCACCTGAAGCTGACTTCAGATCCCAAAAAATCATCTTTCAGGAACAAAAAAAAAGCTTTTTTTATCCACCGGCTGAGTGGATTCAAACGAGCCTCAAACTTGTGAAAGTGACCAAACGTTTGAGTGTGATGAATTATTCAAACAGAAGCCGCTACACACAAAAAGAGCCTCGTTTTTTCTGAGCTGAAACGTGTAAATCGTGAGACAATACCTGCTGTCCAGCTGTTCACCATCACCCCCCCACAAACAAAAAGGCACATTATGTAACACCTACCAGATGTTGGGTTTTGCTCTGGATTTTCCTCATTTAGTTCCATTCAGCGACTTTTGACTGAATATTGCAGCAAAAACGCTTCACGTGCACGTTGAGTTTGGCCTGTTTTCACGCAGCTGCTCCATAAAAAAAGCGGGATGGGTCGGTTTAATATAAACTGAGAGGCAGGAAAAGGCGGTTTACTCACCTCTTCTTTCTCTGGATGGATGGATGGATGGATGGGAGGAAGGTGGGATTCCCTCTGCTCTCA